AATTAATCTCATCCATTGGTGGGAAACCACACACACAAACACCCCACCTGCTCCCTCTGGCACCTGTAGTCCTCTTCAACTCTCCTGATCCAAATATGGCACAGAGCAGGGGGACATCTGGGGCTTCTCTTATGTTAAAGTACATGACTATTTGCATCTTGACCTCGATATTCAGTCAAAATGCCAAAGGTCTCTTATCACATGTGCACTACACCCAGAGTTCAACTATTAGACAGGAAGGTTGCAACCTTAAAACATACCTGTTGAAGTAATTAACTGCAGCAGGACAGTGACTTACTCTTGTTTTAGAATTATCGGATGAAAAGTGCACTTTACTGTGGAGGATCACTGAAATGTAAAGGTTGTAGACTGCTTTAAATTATGAAGCTGAAGAAAACTTAAGAATTCATGATGGTTTACTACACACTTTGCAGTTTTTATTTTCTTTAGGCACATAGCAACTGGTGGCTACAGCACAACCAAAATGACTGCAACCATGTGCAATCAACTTGTAATGAAACTTGGTCACCTGCAGACTGAGCGTGCTGGATGCTTGACCTTGGAGCAACCAGCTGGTTTTACAACTACTTGCAATTGGCCCCAGACAGCAAAACAATTCAATGCAATCCGATGCCGATCACTAGTTTTTTCGTGGTCTCACAAATGTTGCCAACCTATTTTTCCTCTAGTGTGACTGGGCCATTAAAGACACCAGGTAAATCCTGACAAATCCTCCACAGCCTGCACTACGGCATGCAGCGGGGAAAAATGTTCAGATACATGCCATTAAAAGCTGACCAGAATCAGCACTTATTAATCACACATGGTGTAGTGCTGTTTACTTTATGCACATAGCATAATGATTGTTTTGTATAATGTGTGCATTGCGTTTATTGTCTGTTTGCATTGTCTGCATGTTGTCTGCGTTATCTGAGTCAATCAGAAATAAACACTTTAAATTAGAAAGTGTTGGTGAATCACTCAGCCTAGCTTTTTCTTCTT